GTGTTCCAGAGTTTTCGATATGTTGTATAAGTGTTCTCAATTACCTCTAAGAAATTTTTAATCTCCTCTTTGATATCTTTTGCAACCCATAGTTTACTCAATAACATATTATTTAGTCTCCAGTGTTGGAGTTGCTTCTATTTTTTATTTTGTCATTAACTTCTGATTTTATTCGATTATGATCTGATAGAATTCAGGGTAGTAGCTTTGTTTTTTTGTATTTGCTAAGAGTTGCTTTATGCCATAACATATGGTCTATTTTAGAGAAGTATCCAAGTGCTGCTGAGAAGAAAAGTGTATTTTGATGGATGAAATATTTTATATGTGTCTGTTAAGTCTAAGTCATTGATTGTATTATTGAGTTCTGTAGTTTCTTTGTTTAGCTTTTGTTTGACAGATCTATCTAGGGATGAAGAGGTGTGTTAAAGTCACCCAGAATTATTGTGTTGAGGTCTGTTTGACTCTTGAACATAAGAAGAGTTTCTTTGATGAATGTAGATGCTCCATTGTTTGGGGTACATATATTTATAATTGTTATGCCTTGTTGATGTATGGTTCTCTTAAGCAGTATGAAAAGTCCATCTTTATTCCTTTTGATTAACTGAGAATGGAATAATTGCTTGTTTCTGCAGTCCATGTGAGTGGTATGTTTTTTTCCCTGTCTTTCACCTTCAGCCTGTGGATGTCTTTTTCTATGAGATGAGTGTCTTGGAGGCAGCATATTGTTGAGTCTTTTTTAAAAATCCAATCTATGTCTTTTAATTGGTGAGTTTAGGGCATTGACATTTAGGTTTATATGTGGTGCCGAAAATCGAACCCAGTGCCTCACACATGCTAGGCAAGAGCTCTGCCACTGAGCACAACCCCTGCTCATATTTGTTTATTTTTGGTATTTAACTTCACTTGGTTTCTCCTTTGATTTATTTCCTTTAGTGTAATACCTCCCCTTGCTGATTTTCATTGTTGTTTTCATTTCCTCCTCATAGAATATTTTGCTAAGGATATTCTATAGTGAAGGCTTTCTAGTTGTAAATTCTTTAAACTATTGTTCATCATGGAAGGTTTTTATTTTGTCATCAAATCTAAAGATTAATTTTGCTGGATGTAAGATTCTTGGTTCGCATCCATTTTTCTTCAAAGCTTAGTATATGTTGTTCCAGGATCTTCTACTTTCAGGGTCTGAGTTGAAAAATCTTATTTGGTTTCTACCTATATGTAATCTGATTTTCTCTTGTGGCTTTTTAAATTCTGTCCTTTTCTGTATGCTAGGCATGTTCATTATAATGTGCCTTGGTGTGGATCTGTTGTGATTTTGTATATTTGGTTTCCTGTAAGCCTTTTATTTGATTTTCCAATTCAGTCTTTGTATTTGAAAAATTTTCTGATATTATTTCATTGAATAGATTGTTCATTCATTTGGTTTGGAATTCTGTGCCTTCCTCTAGCCCAATAATTCTGAAATTTGGTCTTTTTATGTTATCTCATAATTCTTTAATGTTCTACTCATGGTTTCTTACCATCTCCACTGTGTGTTCAACATTCTTTTCAAGATTATATGTTTTGTCTTCATTGTCTGAGATCCTGTCTTCCAAGTGATCTAATCTGTTGGTGATGCTTTCTGTTGAGTTTTTAATTTGGTTTATTGTTCCTTTCATTTCAAGGATTTCTGTTTGTTTGTTTTTTTCCAGAATCTCTGTCTCCTTACTGAAGTAATTTTTGCTTCCTGTGTTTGCTTCTGTAGCTCTTTATCAAAATGATCTTTTACTGCCTCTATTTGCTCTCTTGTATCATCCTTTAATTCACAGAACATTTTAATTATATGCATCCTGAACTCCATTTCTCTGTCATTTCTTCTGTTTTGCTGGCCATGGATTCTAATAATGTAATATCTTGGTTTGGTGGGGGCACTTTCTTCCCTTGTGTTTTCATGTTGTTCGTGTGTGTTCTCTTCTAGGACTGGGGATCCAAAGCATTACAGTTTTTACCTTATAGGCTTACAGTGTCCCTGCAGGTTTCTGGGACCTCTCCTTTAATGGGGAGAATAATGTAAACAGATCCCAATACAAACAATATACAGCCTTGAATCAAATAGCTGCTATTAATATGTTTATGATTTTGTCACAATATACAGAAATAGTAAGTTGAATTATCATCTATATTATAAACAGTAGGTTTGCAAAAGGGCCTGCAGTTTCTGATGTTGGACAAAGAACTGGGGGTGAGGTGTAGGATGAGATGCTGGGGGTAGGAGGTGAGGATATAGTTATTAAATCTTAGAAAGTGTGCAAGAGGAATCTAAAGAGGTTAATTAGTAGCAGGAGAGAAGAGACAGAATGTGATGTCTTTGGGGAGACAAGTAAGTGGGAAGACAGTAGAGTGCAAAAAACAAAGAAACTTAAATATTAAGAAAAATAAAAATGTAAAAATAGGAGGTAAAAGAATATACAATATCACTGTAATGTACTATTCAGATATCCCAGTCCTCAGTAGACTAATTCATGAAAAGTATTTGGTTTCACAAATGTTGGGGATGTGAAAAGAGAGGAAAAAAGTTTCGAAGATAGATACAAAGATTGTTTTTGTTGGGGATCAGTATCTTTCCAACTTCTCTTCTCATCTAATAGGGTTGTCTGTGTTTGCTGGTATCTCTACCCTCAGGATGGTGAAGGTTACTAGGGTGGGAGTGTTGGTGTCAGGAGCGTAGCTCCTGGAGGTAGGGTATACCACTTAGCGGACCCAGGATCTCCTTTGGAGAGCTGTTTTATATTGGGCAGTTCAGGACCCGGTTTTACCACCCAGTTTTGCAAGCTACCGAATGGCCACTAGCTGCAGGAACTGTGCTGGGTTAACGGTACAATTTTGGAGTACCTTGATATTGTTTCTAAGCTCCAGCCCGTGTTCCAAGCTGGGGGTTGCCCCAATTAAAGATGGCAAGAATGGTGTCCCAAGATGTAGGCGGCTGCTTTTAGCATGGGGTGTTGGGTCCGGTGGGGTGGGGCCAGGTGGTGGCATTGAGAGGTGTGTTCAGAGATACAGCTTTGTGGCATGCAGTCTTGTGACTGGTGGCTGTCACCAGACCCAGTGCAGTGTCCCCAGGTACAGGCTACTTCATGTAGGGGACTGTGGCAGTGGTTGCAGTGCCCCAAGATGAAGGCCACTGGGGAAGCCCCACATTGGTAGATGGGGGGTCCACACGGGAATGGCAACTGGATCCTGTAGGTGGGCTGCAGCCAGGTGTCCTGCATGGGTGCTAATGCTGATGGTCCTGCTCGGGCACTTGGAGGACCTGCTTGGACCAGTAGCCAGGAGTCCTGCACTGACACTCCCCCTTTTTCTTTTAACTTCTTTGTTTCTTATTTTCTTATACTTTATAAATCTTTAAAAAGAAAAAAAAAAACCAAAACAACAATAAAATGTAAAAGTTAAAAATCACTTTTTTATATTTACCCTTGTCCTTACATGCATGTCGCTCATTTATCTTAGAATTATAGCTTATTGTTGTTCAGTAGACAATGCTTGATGACTCTGATTATCTTTAAAACTGAGTAGTCTCTCAGTTCACTCTATAATCAATAACAGACGTAAGTATATTATTAGATAGTGGTTTTGACACCTTTTGCATATTTAAACTATAATACATTACAACTTTAAGGATTACTTGTGTTCTAATTTTAATAAAATAATTAGCTTTGAGAATTCAGTAAAACCAAGCACTCTTTCTATTACATACTACATTAAGCGAAGTTTGCAAACAGCATGCTTATGTCTCTTAAAAGAACAAATACTAAGTCCTGATGGAAACAGAGCTTGCTGTTTACCAGCTATTTTGTTTCTGAAGGGATACTGGAAAGGAGAAAATAATAGACTGCTACTGCAACAAAATGGCATGGTGAGGCGTGATACTGTAGTAATACCTGTACCTATGTTCAGCAGGGTAGCGTGAATGAGTGGTGGCTGAAATGACAGTGACCTGCTGAATAGTAGAGGAGAGATATTGAAGCAGAAATGCTATATTCACTATCATTTGGAGTAACAAGTAGAAACAAGCCCTGTTGTTATCCACAGTTGTTTGCTAATCTTCACATAAATACTCAGAAAAATTTATACTAATGTTTTTAGCTCTTCCTTCGTGTTTTTTTGTCTCTCTTTTAATGTATGGGAAAGTGAATTATCACAAAGCAGTTATTAAAGTTATGCCAGGTTAAAAATCAGTAGTATTTTGAAATTTAAAGAAAAAGTGAACATGATATAACTCCCCTTTACAATGTTGTATAAATTAACACAGAATCTGCATTTGAGGCCCTTTGCCTAAGTGCCTTCATTTTACAACTTGACAAACTATACATGTTTCTATATTTCATTCAGGTGACTTTATGTTAAACTTTTATCTTTGCTTTTAGAACAAGTGTTATAAATTTATATGCTTACTAAATGACAGGAATTTTTGTTACTGTTTTATTCATTTAGAGTAAAGTATGTATATGAAGCAATATGTTCTGAATCATTTTTTAAATCTTTATCCTTTTTGGGTTTATAAACTTAGAGGATATTTATACTTTGCTTTCAGCAAGCAATGATTTTAACTTCTTTATAGTAAACTTGGACAACAGATTTCATTAGGAAGGTGTTATGGCATCAAGAAAAAAAATACATACAATATATATCAAAATTTTAGTACCAGAAAGACAAATCTTTGGGTTTTGGCTCATTGTGGTCATACCCCAAATGTATTCTTGTTGGTCACAAAATTTTATTTGTTGTGTGTTTTTAAAGAAAATTATTTGAGGGAGGGGATTTGAACATATATAGGAAGATAATACTATTTCCAAATATATTGATGTGTTTATATCATGAGTTATTTACTTATTTTTTTCCATATTTTTATTGGTATATTTTAGTTGTAACTAATGGTGAGACTTGTTGTTACATGTTTGTACATGCACACAATATAACAGTATTGCTTGGGTTTTAAAATTATTGCTTCTATTTATTTTTAATAGATAAAGGAGGCAGCAGACATCATTCAGAAGTTGCACCTAATCGCCCAGGAGTTACCTTTTGATAGGCAAGTTTATTTCTCAAGAACTAATTTGGAAATGTGTAATTTATAGAAAAAATTGGAAGTTTTGTCCCTGGATGATTTTCTTTCCCCACTAAGTCAACAAGAATATTTTGCATGTTTCCTTCATACAAGATATGGTATAGAATAGTTCATTGAAAAATAGTGTACTTTAATATCTAAATTTAATTGTATACTTTCAATCCCTTGTCTTTTAAAAAAATATTGATGGAGATTTTTGAAGTTGACCGAAGTAAAATTTTGAGTTTTCCTATCTTGGATTTTGAGAACCAGGGTGATAAGAGACAAGAGTTCAACATAAGGCTACTCAGTTGCTTTTTTCTAATTCTAGATGAAAGATCTTAAGTCTTGGGCACCTTTGAAGTGCTAGTAAAAGATATAGAGTTTCTTCAAAAAATTGAGATATACACATATTATCATATAATTTTAGGGTATTTAAACTCTTTACCTATAAAATTCTTCCAAGAGACTTTGGGTTCTGAACCTTGTTCTATTTATTTATTTATTTATTTTAAACATCAGAAATTTATTCGTTGCTCAAAACATTACATTGATCTTGACATATCATATATCATACATTTGATTCAAATGGGGCATGAATTCATATTTTAAATACAAATCCCAGGGTCATCACTAACTTAAATTTCATCCTAAAATAAAATGCCTTCTGAGAAGGAATTTTTTTTTCATTAGTCCATGGAATATCAAACTTTTTAATAAAATGTGGTAATAATAGTTCCTCCATGTGACTGAAAGAAATATAATTTTGTTTAACAGATAATATATCTGTTATTCTTTTGTGGATACTTGAAGGTTTTAGGTACAGATGGAATATAGGTATATTGCTGTGCTTAAAATATGACCATTATGTTCCAGCCATAGTGAATCCCACTCACACATTCATTTTATTCTCAACTTTGTATCATCATAAAAGATAAGCAGTAATAATTTTTTAAATCATCCACCAAAACTTCTATAACTTTATCCCATTTCAGAGTTGGACCATTTACTTAAATGGGTAACATGCTTAGCTCAAAACAGGTACAATATAATAGTTAGCTATAGCCCTCATTCCTCTCCCTTTATTATATTTTTTCCTTCCAGAACACATTTGCATTGTCATTGTCTCCAACTCTCAAGTTTATACTCCTCTTATAGTTTGTTTTGTTTTGTTTCAGTGCTGGGGATCCAATCCAGGGCCTCACATATGCTAAGCAAGCCCTCCATTACTGAGCTATATGCCAACTTTCTCTTACAGTTTTCTTTTAACCTCTCTAAGAAGCCTTAGAGGCTTAATCAGACTTATTTTTGTCCACACACATCAAAACAGCCTTATATGTGTTTTGTCATCTACCATGACTTAGTTATTAAAAAAAAAAGATAAAATCATCTAAACTTTTCTTTCTTTCTCCGTCTGTCTTTGGCATCTCTTTTGCCAATCATTCTTTTTTTTTCTTCAAATAGTTGCATAGAGTCTCAACGTCAGTTTTCTGTGCTAGATATTCTCTCTTGATATTAAGAGATTTGGAGATTCTAGTGAATGGTATTTTAGTTTTTGAATTTGTAAAGATGGAATGGTTGTTCTCCTAGACACATTGCTGGATTCTTCATAAAGCTCTTTTTATTTTTTTTAGTTTTAAAATAATTATGTGTGTGTGGGAGAGAGAGAGAGAGAGAGAGAGAGAGAGAGAGAGAGAGAGAGAGAGAGAGAGAGAGAAAGAAAGAGTGTGTGTGTAATGCTGGGGATTGAACCCAGGGCCTTGTGCATGCCAGGCAAGCACTCTACCAATTGAGCTGTATCTGCAGTCTTATATTAGTCATCTTTAGTGTGTATTGATTATTATATCATTTATCGTTAATATATCATTTTATCATTGTGTTTTCTTTTACATAAGAATTTAAAACTTTATTTTAAAAATCCCAATAGGGAGCAGATTATTGTAATTATTATTACAATCAATATTATAATCCAGTGACTTTAAAATGTCATTGAATGTGAATAGGAACAATAACTTGTTTTGCGACTGGCTGGGTTAGTGCCTCTTGATTTTCAGTATGAGTTTCCTAAATGATAATTATATACCCCATCTGAATTTCCTACATTCAGTTTTGTTACCAGGAGTGCTTTCTGTCATTATTCTCTCTACCCTCTGGCTTTATCTTTTTATTTTTTATAATAACCTTTGTTTCAAAATTGTTTTAGATTTTCAGAAACTTGAAAAGATTATACAGAAGGTTCCCATGTACCCCTGCATTCATTTCTCCCTTTTTTAACATATTAGCATGGTATGTTTGTCATAACTAATGAATCATCATTGTTTTTTATGTTTCAGATTTTCAGAAGTAAAATCAAAAATTGCAAGTAAGTGGAGTCTATTAAATTAACTTTTTTTGGAGTAAAGACAATAACTGTTGTATAAAAGAAAATAGCAAAAGGAGAGAAGTGAAACATACCATTCTCCTACCCCATCCCTGTATTCTTCAAGAGTACTGTGTGAATATACGAGCAGCATAAGACTTCCCCCTTCCCAATTATTTTATATATAATTTTATATAATTTATGTATAGATTTTATATATAATTTATATATATACACACACATACATACATATATACACTTAGATGCACACACTTTTTTTTTTTAATAGGTGGTAGCTTTTAGGCCTTGTGTTTTTAATTTAACAGTATATTTTGGAGATTGTGTTCATACACATATCTGTGAATATAGCTCTTTTTTCTTTTTAACACTGATACGATGAGTATTGCAATAACTGTTCATCTCCTTATCTTAATAGTTTGATTTTTGCCAATAGTTTAGACTAGGTCATTCTAGTTTTCTGGAAAAAAATCAGTTTATTTTCAGGTTCCATTTATAATAACCTGGCTACCTGTTTGTTATGCCAGTTCATTGAAAGTTCAGAGACCTACCTATATTTTCAAACGTCATGTTGTTTTTGTAATTCTTCCAAAAAGAAGGCAGATCCATAGACATTATATTTGTAAATAATTTAGATGCTTGACATAATTTTGATACTTTGAGAGCCTCAGGATAGCCGGATGACTTTATTTTTATTTTTAGGTAAATATCATGATTTAGAATGCCAACTAATTCAGGAGTTTACCAGTGCTCAAAGAAGAGGTGAAATCTCCAGAATGAGGGAAGTAGCAGCAGTTTTACTTCATTTTAAGGTAAATATTAAAAATTTAAAATGTAGATCAGTCTTAAAGGTTTTGAAGAGTTTACAAAATCCATGTTATTATTTCTGATGTTCCCCTATTGGTTGTATAACTAAATTACATCAAAATGTAAAAAATGTAATAATTTTCATTAATTTGTATATTTTATATATTTCTCTATAAAAATGTTAAACATTAGAATTTAATATTTCAATAAGGATTTTATATTTAGTAATATCAATACATCAAGTTTTCATATAGTTTGATAAAGAATACCTTATAGTTTACCTTCTTGTTTTTTAATAAATCCTTTTCAATCAAACATGTTAAGAAATTAATTCAAAAGCAAGAAAACATGACCATGAATATGTAATGGAATGTAGGAAACAAAGAGTAGATGACATATTACATAGAAAAAAAAAATCCACCTACCGAGATTTTATTGTTAATATAAAGAAATGTTTTATGTAGTTGTCTTTCTGGAATTTGAATTGGAGAGAGAGCATGGGATTGTATCTCTGCAAAAAGGTGCTTAAACAATAGTTCTTCCTTCATTTTGTTTCTTCATTGCATCAGATGTTAAAAGTATAACCTATCTGTTGGGCTTTTCATTTTTGTAATATCTAAATGAGTACTGAGAGTGGCTTTTTTGTTGTTGTTGTTGTTTTGTGGGGAAGGGTCTTGTGAAGAGTAAACTCAAGGGCACTTTACCACTGAAGTACATCTCAGTTCTTTTTATTTTGAGACAAATTCTTGCTAAATTGCTGAATCTGGCTTTGAATTTGCAATCTTCCTACTTCAGCCTCCCAAGTCACTGGGATTATAGGCATGCATTACTGTGCCTGACTTGAGAATGACTTTTAAGACAATAGAATACTTTATATTGATTACCTTACTTTTTCTACCATATGATTTATTACTTTACTTGTTTTAATGTATAATTTATTAATAGGCAAAAATCTCATTGTGTTGATTTGTTTTAAACACATTTTATTGTAGTAGGTTAAGCTTTAAAAATACACTTTTATTTAATATGGAAGCATACCCATATTAAGTTACTTTGATTTCCAAACCGATGGCTTATGGCCATATCTGACGCTTGCAAGGGAAAGGAAAAGATTTGAATCCAAGACAGGAAAGAAGATATCTTTTAATATTAGATTTTGTACTAGAATTATGCAAGCAGCATTCTTAGTACTTTAACTTGGGGAACTGGATATTATGCTTTATTCTAATGTACTAAGATAGAAAAGTATAAACATATATGTATACACATACTTTCTTTCAAGTACTTGAGTCTCTATGTGTGTGTGTGTGTGCGTGCACACGCATGTGTATTGGAGTTGAAAGAGATGGCTAGATGGTCATAAGGCAAAAATTACCAGGCTGGGAATGTGGCTCAGTGGTAGAGTGCTTGCCTAGCATGTGTGAGGCCTTGGTTTCAATCCCTAGTACTGCCAAAATGTGTGTGTGTGTGTGTGTGTGTGTGTGTGTGTCATTAAAAAGAACTTAGCTTACCTCAGCTTTCTTCTTTCATCTAAAGTCCAAAAAAGTTATATAATAGCTGTTCAGCTTCATCATAGTAAGGGGGGAAGCATACCCATATTAAGTTACTTTGATTGAAACACACCCATTTACAGTTACTTTGATTGAATTCCAACAACTGTTAGCCATTTGCTAGGACATAAAACATAACTTTATTACTATAACACTTCTTTTATTGAAATTATTGTAATGGAACCCAAACAATGTTAACAATGTATTTCTTCTTTGTAGGGCTATTCCCACTGTGTTGATGTTTATATAAAGCAGTGCCAGGAGGTAACATAACAATATACTTTATTGAATTTTATTTTATGCTGATTTGTATTTTAAAACCATTAAAAATATTATGTTAAATGCTTCTATTTAGGGTGCCTACTTGAGAAATGATATATTTGAAGATGCAGCGATACTTTGTCAACGAGTAAACAAGCAAGTTGGAGATATTTTTAGTAATCCAGAAACAGTACTGGCTAAACTTATTCAAAATGTATTTGAAATCAAACTACAGGTAATTTTAAATAGTAACAAATAAAATAATTCTTAAGAAAATATGTGATTTTTTTTATATTTTAGAAATTTCATTTTTAATTTAGTTTACTTATATGATGACCTTAGAAATAATAATCTATTTACTTAAGGGGAAAGGAATGTCAGTATTATGCTTTTTAAAAAATGGTTTGTTATTCATGAAGGAAAAGATGTTGATCACTTAGTATTATCCCAGCATGTTTTTCAAATTTGTTACAGCAATAGTAGTAGTAATATAATGCATTAAGGTAGCTTAATGTTTTGTTTTGATTTGGGTTTTGGTGTTCACCACAACTAATAATAACAAGTATAGTCTATAGATTTTTTTTTATGATGTGGTAATATCATAAAAAGGAAAAGCAGAAACTTAATTTATAATCTTTACTCTTCATAACATTATACTTTCAGATATTTTCTAAACTATGTTTACCTCTGCATTAAGCATTGTTCAATAGTGTTTGTTTTTTAAATACACCTTTGTAGCCTTTAAAGTTGCTAACATGTGTTGTGGTTCTCTAGAAGTAAGAGTATAAAGTGCAACATTTCCCACATTTACTGACCAAAGAACCTGATTTTAGACAAATGCTTATTAATTTCTCAAAGGACATTACTGTTTGTTAGACCAGTTTGAGAAGCTGTTCTAAAGAATTGACTCTATTGGTGTTTCAAAAGAAAAGGTATTCTAAATTCTTAATACTTATTCCCAAGATTTATATAGATTGTTTATAGGCAAATATATGAAACAGTAAAATTTAGAAACCTGTTTTAAATTTTTTTTAATGATTTGGTCTATTTCTATGCACTGCCTTGTTGATTAGACTTAAGTCAGAACTTAAAACTAATTTTAGAGGAAAAATATTTTGAGAATTTATGATTTAATGTTTGTTTAATAGAATGTTAACTTTCTTTTTTAGAGTTTTGTGAAAGATCAGTTAGAAGAATGTAGGAAATCAGATGCAGAGCAATATCTCAAAAGTCTCTATGATCTGTATACAAGGTACATTTTTAATTATTAAAAAATAATATTCAACTTTATTTTTTTAATGGAAAAAGGGGAAATATTCAGTATTTTTTGAGTAATAGCCTACCAGATAGCAGTATACAGTATTAAATACTTGGCTGTGTGGACTAGACTTGTGCAAGAGCAGCATTCTTATTACTTTGAGGAATTAGATGTTCTGCTTTATCCTGATGTACTAAGAACCATAAAACCTTCTGTTTTTAAACTAATCCTAAAGGATTTCGCTTCTGATTTTAATTGTAAACTATTTCACTTCTTAAATTTTTTCTCTAAGAATTAGTATAATTACATTTATCTGCAGTTAAACTTTACAATAGGAAATGACATATTCTTAACAAATGATAATTTCAGCCTTAAGTCTGATGTGAGAGTTTGTCTTGTGCTCTTGTGATGGTAGGTAGTATTGCTCTTAAAGACATTATTTCAGAAGCTTTATTTTCCTTGATTTTTCCAAATTCTGTTGCCGTCCTTTTAGTCTCTTTATTTAAGGAGGTTTTTAAAAGTTACCATAACAACAAATTTCATCTCAAAAATACTGTCTTCAACAATAGGAAATGAAAAATGAGAGGAAAGTTAAATGGACGTAGACAAAACAGGGTAAACAGAGAGAGTAGACGTCCCAGTATTTTGTTTTGGGTACCTTGTGATGAATGGCATCAAAGCATTCCTGAATCCATTCTGTCACCATTGCCATTTCTGGACTGGTTCTTTGTCTCATAGTTTTTTCTAGAGTTTCTGACAGTTCTGAAAACCATAATGTTACTTTGCAATATTCCATTTTATCTAACTCTGCATTCTAAGTACTCTTCCAAGGTTTAAGAAACAGTGGTTTAATATAAGTTAAAAAAAAATCACATTGTAAAATATATATTCCTTAACATTGTTGTTATACCTAAAATATACATTAATCTTTTTCTCCCCCTTTTCCATTGAAAAGAACCACCAATCTTTCCAGCAAGTTGATGGAGTTTAACTTAGGTACTGATAAACAGACTTTCTTGTCTAAGCTTATCAAATCCATTTTCATTTCCTATTTGGAGAATTATATTGAGGTGGAGACTGGATATTTGAAAAGCAGAAGTGCTATGATCCTACAGCGCTATTATGATTCAAAAAACCATCAAAAGAGATCCATTGGCACAGGAGGGTGAGTTTTTAAAGTTAAATATTATATTGAAACTGAAGACTTTTTTTTTCATTTCAGATGCCAATAAGCATTTCTTTTTATTGCTAAATAATATTGCATTATATGGATATATGATACATGTTGAGTAGACATTTAGGTTGTTTAGAGTTTGGGTTATTTGGCTTTTTGAGTTTTTTATGCATTCTAGATATTAATCCTGTGTCAGAAGAGAGGCTAGCAAAGATTTTCTCCCATTCTATAGGTTTTCTCTTCACATTCCTAATTGTTTACTTTGCTGTGAAGAAGCTTTTACATTTGATGCTATTCCATTTATTAACTCTTGGCATTATTTCCTGAGGTTTATGCGTCTTATTGAGAAAGTCATTGCCTGTGCCTATATACTAGGGCATTAACCTACGTTTTCTTCTAAGAGTTGCATGGTTTCTGGCCTAATTCATAGATCTTTGATCCATTTTGAGTTGATTTTTGTGCAGGGTGAATGATAAGGGTCTAGCTTTATTCTTCTACATATGGATAACAAGTTTTCCCAGCACCATTTATTAAAAAGGCTGTCTTTTCCTCAGGCTAGTATCATTCTGAATGGAGAAAAACTGAAGGCATTCCCTCTAAAATCTGGAACTAGACAGGGATGCCCTCTCTCTCCACTTCTGTTCAACATAGTTCTCGAAACACTGGCCAGAGCAATTAGACAGACGAAAGAAATTAAAGGCATAAAAATAGGAAAAGAAGAACTTAAATTTATCACTATTTGCAGATGATATGATTCTATACCTAGCAGACCCAAAAGGCTCTACAAAGAAACTATTAGAGCTAATAAATGAATTCAGCAAAGTGGCAGGATATAAAATCAACACGCATAAATCAAAGGCATTCCTGTATATCAGCGACAAATCCTCTGAAATGGAAATGAGGACAACCACTCCATTCAAAATATCTTCAAAAAAAATAAAATACTTGGGAATCAACCTAACAAAAGAGGTGAAAGACTTATACAATGAAAACTACAGAACCCTAAAGAGAGAAATAGAAGAAGATCTTAGAAGATGGAAAAATATACCCTGTTCATGGATAGGCAGAACTAACATCGTCAAAATGGCGATATTACCAAAAGTTCTCTATAGGTTTAATGCAATGCCAATCAAAATCCCATCGGCATTTCTTGTAGAAATAGAGAAAGCAATCATGAAATTCATATGGAAAAATAAAAGACCCAGAATAGCAAAAACAATGCTAAGCAGGAAGTGTGAATCAGGCAGTATAGCGATACCAGACTTCAAACTATACTACAGAGCAATAGTAACAAAAACAGCATGGTACTGGTACCAAAACAGGCGGGTGGACCAATGGTACAGAATAGAGGACACAGAAACCAATCCACAAAACTACAACTATCTTATATTTGATAAAGGGGCTAAAAGCATGCAATGGAGGAAGGATAGCATCTTCAACAAATGGTGCTGGGAAAACTGGAAATCTATATGCAACAAAATGAAACTGAATCCCTTTCTCTCGCCATGCACAAAAGTGAATTCAAAATGGATCAAGGAGCTTGATATCAAATCAGAGACGCGCCGTCTGATAGAAGAAAAAGTTGGCTACGATCTACAGTCGGTGGGGTCGGGCTCCAAATTCCTCAATAGGACACCCATAGCACAAAAGTTAATAACTAGAATCAACAAATGGGACTTACTCAAACTAAAAAGTTTTTTCTCAGCAAAAGAAACAATAAGAGAGGTAAATAGGGAGCCTACACCCTGGGAACAAATCTTTACTCCTCACACTTCAGATAGAGCCCTAATATCCAGAGTATACAAAGAACTCAAAAAATTAGACAATAAGAAAACAAACAACCCAATCAACAAATGGGCCAAGGACCTGAACAGACACTTCTCAGAGGAGGACATACAGTCAATCAACAAGTACATGAAAAAATGCTCAACATCTCTAGCTGTCAGAGAAATGCAAATCAAAACCACCCTAAGATACCATCTCACTCCAGTAAGATTGGCAGCCATTAGGAAGTCAAACAACAACAAGTGCTGGCGAGGATGTGGGGAAAAGGGTACACTTGTACATTGCTGGTGGGACTGCAGATTGGTGCAGCCAATTTGGAAAGCAGTATGGAGATTTCTTGGAAAGCTGGGAATGGAGCCACCATTTGACCCAGCTATTCCCCTTCTTGGTCTATTCCCTAAAGACCTAAAAAGAGCATGCTACAGGGACACTGCTACATCGATGTTCATAGCAGCACAATTCACAATAGCAAGACTGTGGAACCAACCTAGATGCCCTTCAATAGACGAATGGATAAAAAAAAATGTGGCATTTATACACAATGGAGTATTACTCTGCATTAAAAAATGACAAAATCATAGAATTTACAGGGAAATGGATGGCATTAGAGCAGATTATGCTAAGTGAAGCTAGCCAATCCCTAAAAAACAAATGCCAAATGTCTTCTTTGATATAAGGAGAGTAACTAAGAACAGTGTAGGGACGAAGAACAGGAGAAGAAGATTAACATTTAACAGGGATGAGAGGTGGGAGGGAAAGGGAGAGAGAAGGAAAATTGCATGGTAATGGAAGGAGACCCTCAGGGTTATACTGTGGAGGAGGTAGAGAGAGAGGAGGGGAGGGGAGGGGAGAGGTGGGGAGGGGGGAGGGTGGAGGATGGGAAAGGCAGTGGAGCACAACAGACACTAGTATGGCAATTTGTAAATCAATGGATGTGTAACTAATGTGATTCTGCAATCTGTGTATGGGGTGAAGGTGGGAGTTCATAACCCACTTGAATCAAAGTGTGGAATATGATATGTCAAGAAATTTGTAATGTTTTGAACAACCCACAATAAAAAAAAAAAAAAAAAAAAAAAAAGGCTGTCTTTTGGGGCTGGAGTTGTAGCTCAGTGGTAGAGCGCTTGCTTAGCATGTATGACGCACCGGGTTCCATCCTCAGCACCACATAAAGATAAGTCAAGTAAAGGCATTGTGTCCATATACAACTAAAAAACATATATATATTTAAAAAAAGGTCTGTCTTTTCTCCAATATATGTTTTTAGTACCTTTGTCAAGGATCAGATGACTGTGGATGTGTGGGTTTGTCTTTGTGACTTCTATTCTGTACCACTGATCTATGTGTCTGTTTTTATGCCAACACCATTGCAGTTTTTGTTATTATAGCTCTGTAGTATAATTTGAAGTCAGGTATCTTGATGCCACTAGTATTGCTCTTTTAGCTTAAAATTGTTTGGACTACTCTGAGTGTTTTATTCTTCCAAATGAATTTTAGGACTGGTTTTTCTAGTTCTGTGAAGAATGTCATTGGTATTTTGATGGGGATTGCATTGAATCTGTATATTGCTTTTGGTAGTATGGCCATATTTAACAATATTAATTCTGCCTCTCCATGAACATGGGAGATCTTTCCATCTTCTGAGGTCTTCTCTAATTTCTTACTTCAGTATTCTATACTTTCATTGTAAAGGTCTTTCATCTCCTAAAACTGAAGATATTTAAGAACATTATTACATTTGGGCAAACTTAACAAATATTGACTGTCACAAATATTTTCTCCAAAGAACTGTTTTAACCCACATTGTTTGTACTACTGACCAAATCCTGCTCTTGAACCATGTTTTGGGGGGAAAAAAAAAACCCTAACGTGATTAAAATATGTAAAACAGACACTTGACAAAAAAATGTGTATCAAAGACCTAGGAATTAGACCAGAAACCCTGCATCTACTAGAAGAAAAGGTAGGCCCAACACTTCCACATAGTGGTTAAGCTATGGAATTAACTTAGATGCCCAAAAACAGATTAGAAAGAAATTGTATATATACACAATGGAACATAATTTGGCCATTAAAAAGAATGATTTTATGACATTTACTAGTAAATGGGTGGATCTGAAGACTATTATGCTAAGAGAAATAAGCCAGTCCCAAAAAACCAAAGGTCAAATGTTTTTGCTGATATGTAGACGCTAAACCACAGTAAAGGGGGGAGTGGAAGAAGGGAAGTTCTGTAGATTAAACAAAGGGGAACAAAAGGAAGTGGGTGGTAGAAATAGGAAAGACAGTAAATCTAAAATAATTCTATGAACATATATGGAAATACCGTGAGCACCACCATTGTGCCTACCCACAAGATGAGGTCATAAGTAGAATAAGGTATATCCTATGCTTGTATAATTTTATCAGAATGGCTTCTATTGTCATGTATAACTAAAAAGAACCAATAAAATAACATTTGAAAATATTTTAATATAAAACAATATCAGTGATATCAAGAGTTCTGGTTTCATTTTTTCCCCCCAGTGGTGAGGATTGGGTGCTTCTACCACTGAGCAACATCTCTAGCCTTTTTTATTTTGAGACAGTGTCTTGCTTAGTTCCCTGGGCTGACCTAAAACTTGATATAGTCTTGCCTCAGCCTTCCAAGACACTGAGATTACAGCAGGTGCCACTATACCTGACTTTTCTTTTTTTCTCTTTTTCCCAGAGTAAATTATTTTAGGTCATTGACTAAGAATCACATCATTTTTGTTATTGTTATTGTTATTGTTGCAGGTGGAGAACAAAAAACAAATAGTTTTCAATTTATTTGGTCCTGAATTGATAAGTTTGGGGGGATCCCTTGAGTATAAAACTATTAAATTAATATTTTAGAGCCTGCAGCTCTTCACAAACTAGAAGAAAATGACTTGAGTAGGTGGCATCTCAGTTGTCCATACCTTAACTACCTCGAACCTAATTGATTCTAGAAGGAGGCAGAATGACTTCTGGGTTGCCATACAATCAGAGTCGAGAGTCCACACTCTATACACCTATATCATTTTCATGTTTCTCAGTTTGTGTATTAAATAATGACCAGAGAGAAGTATAACTAGGAAGAAGAGGCATAATCTGAAAGGCAGTAGAGAACAACTGATGAACAGTCATAAGACATTTTTTTTTAAAAAATAAGTTCACAGGAGCTATATATAGTCTAGGGAAAAAAAAAAAGAGATACCCCATATAATAAATGTTCCAGGTAATCCTTGATCACTAAGAGAAGCTAAATTATGTTTAACAGATCTGTTTAATGTAGTGAAGAAATGTGTCAAATCTTTAAATGGTTGAATATATTAAAAGTCATTAAAATTTTGGAAGTTTTATTTTTAAACAGGACTATTTATCTTTTACGTTTACTTATTTGGAATAGCTTGCTTCCTGGTTGATTTAGAATTGTAAAGCTGAATAGGATTTTAGCGATCCTAATTTCAAGTTTCATTTTTCAGATGAAATTTTTCACAGAACTAATTTTTGGAATTAGAATTTAGATTTTTCGGTTATTGATTTTGTTGTTGTTGATGATGTATACTAAGTTTGAGAATACTTGAAGTTAAAATCCACATGTTCTTTTTTCATTTGTCCATACTAGTATTCAAGACTTGAAAGAAAGAATTAGACAACGTACCAACTTACCACTGGGGCCAAGTATTGATACTCATGGGGAAACTTTCCTGTCCCAAGAAGTGGTGGTTAATCTTTTACAAGAAACCAAACAAGCCTTTGAAAGATGTCATAGGGTAAGATTGATTGTAAATTTATTTTACTCATGATTGGTGTATCTATTTTAAGTTTTACCTTGTTGATACAAAGATAAAATCTATTCTCTGATTAGAAGCAACTATTTTTTCTTTGCTTTTTAAAATTTTTTTAATTGACATGTAAAAATTGTACATACTTATGGGGTACCATGTGATATTTTGATACATGTCTACTTTGAGGAATGTTCAAATCAGGGTAAGCATATATATCCCCTCAAACATTTCTTTTTTTTTTTTTTTTTTTTGGGTAATGAAAACATTCAAAAGCCATTCTTCTAGTTTTTTTGAAGTAGAAAGATTATTTTTATTACCTGTAGTCACCCTAATAATTGCAATGGATGCAACAGAACACCAGAAATGGGTTATCTTTTATCTAACTATAACATAGTACCTGTTGACCAACCTTTTCCCGTGCCTTTCTCCTCACCACCCCCTCAGCTTGTGGTAACCACTGTTCTACTCTTAATTTCTTTGACATCTCCTTTTTAGATTCCACCCATGAGTGAGATCATTCCTGGCTTATTTCACTTAACATAGTGTCTTTCAGTTCTATCCCATGGTTGCAAATGACAGGATTTCATCCTTTTATGGCTGAATATTATTTCCATGTTTATATATACTACCTTTTCTTCATCTGTTCATCAGTTGATGTACACTTAGATTGATTTCATTTCTTGGCCATTATGGATAATGCTGCAAGAAATATGGGAGTGCAGATGTCTCCTCAATGTGCTGATTTCATTTCCTTTGTATGTATACTTGGTAATGGATCATATGGCAATTCTAATTTTAATTTTTTAAGGAACCTCCCTACTGTTTTCCATAATGGCTATACTGATTTCTATTACCACTAATAATGTGCATGGTGGGTTCCTTTTTCTCCACATTATTGACAACACTTGTAATTTTTTTTTATAATAACTATTCTAATTTGAGAAAGGTGATCTCATTGTGATTTTTATTTGCATTTCTCTGATAATTAGTGATGGTCAGCATTTTTTCATATATCTGTTAGCCATTTATGTAACTTTTGAGAGAAGTCTGTTTGGCCTATTGTCCATTTTTAATTTTATTTTGCTGTTTTGTTGTTTTGGATCCTTATATGTTCTAGACATTAACCTCTTATCAGATATATAATTTGCAAATATTTTCTCCTGTAGGTTGTCTCTTCACTCTTGATTATTTCTTTTGCTGTGTAGAAGCTGTTTAGTTTGATTAATCCTGTTTTGTCCCTTTTTTTAATCCCTATGCTTTCAGGGTCTAATCCAAAAAAATCTTTGCCCATTCAAATGTCATGAAGTATTTCCCCTGTATTTTCTGTTAGAATTGTTATAGTGTCAGGCTTACACTTAACTCTTTAATTAATTTTGAGTTGATTTGTGTATGTTCTTTTTTAAATGTGAGTATCCATTTTTTCCAGCACCATTTATTGAATGATTTATCCTTTCCCCAACATGTGCTCATAATACCGTTGTCAAAGATAGTTGGCTATGTGTGGGTTTACTTCTAGGTTCCATTGGTCTTTGTGTCTGCTCTTATGCCAACACCATGCTGTTTTGATAAAACTTGGTAGTATATTTTGAAATCAGGTACTGTTATGTGTCCTAATTTTTCATTTTATTCAAGCTTGCTTTTGTCCTTTGGAGTTTTGGTGGTTCCATAAGAATTTTAACATTGTTTTTTTCTAGCGCTGTGAAGAATGTCATTGATAGTCTGATGGGGATCATATTGAATCTGTAGTTTAGTTGGGTACTATGGACGTTTTAACAATATTGATTCTTCCAGTCTATGAACATGGGCTATCTTTCCATTTTTGTATGTCCTCTTTAGTTTCTTTCATCAGTGTTTTATAGTTTTCATTAAAGATATCCTTTATCTTTTTGGTTACATTTATTCCTAGATATTTATTATTTTTATTATCCTAGATATTTATTATATGCAGCTATTATAAGTGGGATTGCTTTTTGTTCTTTTCTTTTTGGGGAATTTATGTTGGTCATATAGAAATGCTATTGATCTTTTTCTTTTCTTTCTTTTTTTTTAAATCTTGTGACTGCTGAATTTGCTTATTCTAATAATATTGGTGGATTCTTTGGGTTTACTAAGTTTAAGACCATGTTGTTGGCGAACTGTGAGGATTTGTATTTTTCAATTTTTCAAACTTAACTACTGTGTTGAATAAAAGTGGTGAAAAGTCTGAATCCATGCTTTGTTCCAGATCTTAGAAAGTTTTCAACTTTTCCCTGTTCATTATGAAATTAACTGTGGACTTCTTACATATGGCTTTTATGATGTTGAATTATATTCTGACCTTGTCTAATTTGTTCAGAGTTTTTAATCTTGAAGAGATATTGGATTTTATCAAATGCTTTTTCTGCATCTACTGAGATGATCATATAGTTTTTATCCTTCATTCACTTGACGTGTTGTGTCACATTTACTGATTTATGTGCGTCAAAGCATCTCTTAGATGAATTCCCTTGGTTAGATGGATAATCTGTTGGATATGCTGTTGGATTCAGATGGCTAGTACTTTGTTGAGGATTTTGCATCTGTGTTCAACAGGGATATTGGCCTAAAGCTTTCTTTTTGTTGTTGTTGTAGCCCTTGTTTGGCCTTGGTATCAGAATAATGCTGGCCTCAGTTTGGAAGAATTCTAGGATTTGGAATTATTTGGGCAATGTTCGTATTCATTTTTTTTACATATTTGGTAGAATTCAGAATTGAAACCATCTGGCTCTGGACTTTCCTTTTATGGGAGGCATTTTATTACTGATTTAATCTCATTATTCATTATTGATCTGTTAAGATTTTTCTATTTCTTCATGATTCAATCTTTGTGAGATGTATGTGCTCAGGAATTTACCTATTTCTTACAAAATATGGACTCTTAGTATACAGTTGTTTGTGATAATCTCTAAGATCCTTTGTATGTCTGTGATGTCAGTTACAGTGTCTCCATTTTATCTGATTTATTTATATACAGACATTTTCTTAGTGTAGCTAAGGTTTTTTTTAACTCTTCATTTTGCTGATTCTTTATTGATTTGTGTGTGTGTGTGTGTGTGTGTGTACTTTATTTATTTTTGCTCCTCCTTCTAAATCTTCTACTAATTTGGAATATGTTTTGTTCTGTTTTTCTAGTACCTTGAGATTCAAGAATAAATTGTTTTGAGATTTTCCTACTTTTTTGACATTGGCATTGACTGTTATAAACTTCCCTGTTTTGCTTTTGCTGTCCCATAAATATTGGTGTTTCCATTGTCATTTGTCTTAAGACGTTTTTTAAATTTTTTTCTATATTTCTTTATGGATCAATTGGTGATTCAGAAGTCAATTATTTAATATTCATGTATTTGAGTAGTTACCAAAGTCTTTCTTGTTGTTATTTTCTAGTTTTATTACACTGTAGTTGTAAAAAAAAATACTCAATGTGTTTTTTAGTTTTTCAAAATTTGTTGAGACTTGTTCTTTGGCCTACCATATGATCTGTCATGGAGAATGTTCCATGTACTTTTAAAAAGAATATGTATTCTGTAGCTTTTGTGTGGAATGTTCTGTAGATGTCTATTAGGTTCATTGGTCTAGAGTACAGTTTACTATTTGTTACTGTGTTAATTTTCTGTCTGGATGATCTGTTCTTTGCTGAAAATGGGGTGTTAATGTCTATACTATTATTGTATTGGATTCTAGCTCTCCTTTTCTATTTGCTTTATATATATGGGTACTCTGATATTGGGTGCATATATATTTGTAATTATTATTTTCTTTTGCTGAATTGAATCCATCATATAATAACTTTGTTTTAATTGCTTTTGATTTAAAGTCTACTTTATCTAAGTGTGACCTTTCTTTTGGATCCCATTTGTATGGGATATCTTTTTCCATCCCTCCACTATAGACTATGTTCATTCTTAGAAATGAATGAATTTTTTTGTAAACACTATATAGTTAAGTCTTATTTTTTTAATTCATTTACTCTTTTAATTGGATAATTTAATCTATTTATATTTAAGATGATCATCAATAGGTAAAATCCTAGTACTGCCATTTTATTACTTGTTTTCTAGTTTTTCAATAGTCTTTTTCTTTCTCCCCCTTTTATAGCCTTCCTTTGTTGTGAAATGTTTTCATTCTTTGCATATTATTTTTGGTGTATCTGATTACAGGTTTTTCTTTTGTGGTTACAGTGAGGCTTATGAAAATCTCTTTTGATTATTAGAAGCTATTTTGAACTGAGAACTTAATTTTGATTGTAAGGATAGGAAAAGAAAGAAAAATAGTAATTTAAAAACTCTATACTTCCTATATTTTGAATTTTTGACCTATTTTGCATTTTGTATTACATTTTTTTTTTCTTTTGGTCCCAAGGATTGAACCCCAGGGACACTCAACCCTAAGTCCTTTTATTTTATTTATTTATTTTTTATTTTGAGACAGGGTATCACTAAGTTGCTTAGGGCCTTGCTGAGTCCCTGAGGGTGGCTTCAATCTTGGAGTACTCCTGCCTCAGTCTCACCTGCCGCTGGGATTACAGGCATGTACCACTGCACCCATCTTATCTTTTAACATATTAATGTGTGTTTTTTGTTTTTGGTGCTGGGGATTGAACCCAGGGCTTTGTAAATGTAAGGCAAGCACTCTACCAACTGAGCTGTATTCCCAGCCCCTTAATGTGTCTTTTTTCATTTTTGTTTTGTTTTTTAGATTTCATACTAATGATATAAATGGTTTATGCACCAATTTACAATATTAGAACATTCTGAATTTCTTTGTGTATTTGCTCTTACTAATGAGTTTTAAACATTAGAGCACTTTCTTCTTACTTATTGGCATTGCTTTCCTTCAATTTGAAGAATTCCCTTCAGCATTTTTTGTAATAAAGATGTCATGGTGATAAATTCTCTCAACTCTTTTTGTCTAGAAATGGTTTTTCTCTCTCTTCACTGCTAAAGCACAGTTTTGCTGAGTGCAGTAAT